TCTCGCACTACAAACTTTTCTCTCTTCCTACGCTATCCACGTTCGTCGAGTCTTCTCTCGCAGCCTCTTTGATTCTCGGCCCCATTTTCCAGCACTTTCGCTATTACTTGCCGCCTGCTCCCGCTTCGATTGCGAGTTCTATCGCGACTGTTACTTCCTTTTCGACCGTTTCTCTTCACTTCGATGTATTCATTTCCTAGTGTCGCATAATAAACTGCATAATATAATATGTATATCGATATACATATACTACAAAATTCAAATTGTACCAATCATTGACCGACTGACTGACTGCCTGACTCATCAACGCACAGCCTAAAGTGCTGTACTGTAATGTGGATACACAGGTATCCACTGAGAAATTAATCAATTTTCGAAATTCAACCCCTAAAATGGCGAGGCAGGTCCTCTAATGTGATGAAAATTTAATAAATACATTTCGAAGATTTATGTCGGTTATATACATGCTGCAACTTTGATTGAAATCGGTTAATACAGAAACGAGTAACAGGCATCGAAAGATGTAAGAATCTGTAGATATACCACAATTCTAGATTAAAGGTCACGAAAAATTGCGATTTTCAAGAACGTTAACCGATTTCGATGAAATTTTCAGCATGCATATAACTAATATAAATCAAAGCAATGTATTTGTTAAATTTTCATTACAATCTCGGTTAAAAAAGTCGCAAAATGTGAACTTTATAATTGTCTTCGCGATTTCGACCAATTGTAACTCTTTCAACATTTTGTTAACACATCGTTTTGTACACTAATTCTTCTAAGTACACAAAGAAACTCAAGTCACTTGGTTCAATTTGGAAAGAGTTCTGTTTTAAAGGGTATACGAATACTTTTGGTACCGTATTGTATTTACGAAGCAATATAATTCATGCATTCGATTCATTCACTCTCTCTTTCCTCCTCTCTCTCTCTGTCTCCCAATCACGCTCCATCACCCTCTGCTAACTATTTACCCTACTTATTGCACCCTTTCCGGTTCGTTAAAACTCTCTTTGGTCTTCTCTATCTCCTCAGCTTTTTAGTTCTCTTTTCTTTTGCAGTTTCTCGAGCCACTCTGTAATCTTTTCATCCTCTCTCCCACTCGCTACGTCTTCCATCCTAACACCCCTTTCGGCGTCCCTACAGTCCCTTGTTTAATTTTGTAGGTTCCCGAATCTATCCTCACGCAAATCGTACATTCTCCCTTCCTCCTCTTCCCAGAACTTGTTGGTAAAATGGAATATTCTCAGGTAATTCTGGACAGGTAATACGTCCGTTAACGGTTTCATATACCATTTAGCTTTTCTCAGATCAAAGAGAACTCTAGTCTTCGTAAGATCAGTAGTACATACGTTCCTCGTCGTACATTCTTGCACGATATTACCACCATGGCGTGCCATTATTCCGGAATGTTTCCAGCGAAACGGAGAACAACATTATTCTCGCTTCAGCTGCGACCATAATTAAAACCTTCCGTCGCGACCACAGCTTCGCGAAATGTTTTATCTAGAACGAGATTTAATTGGAGGTAATGGAGAAGCCGACGACGTAAATGTAAGGCGTTTCGTGCAACGGACAGCGATAACCTCGATTTTCGTTCTTTATTAGCATAGTCAACGTACACGACGCGACGTGACAGGAAAAAAAGAGGGGAAAAACGAAGGGACGAAAACAGAATAACGCTTGCACAAATTCCCTGGAAAAAATTCAGAGCTTGTCGGATTTCCAATCGGTCACGTTGTTCGCCGGCGCGTTACAACGTCAAAATATTGTTTCGGACAAGTGACTTTGTTGAAACATCGGCCGCGTGCCACGACTCCGAAAATAATGCGTCGTTCGGCGTACCGTAACTCTCTCGTCCCTTTTGTTTTGGAAACGTTTAACTCACCGCGGACTGCGGACCACCGATCGTAAATAATCCCTCGCCGAGTCTGCCGGTCTCTCGTTGAAATTCGTCGACAAAAAAAAAGCTCGGTGATCGCGGAATTTCGCGCCGACCGCGGTACAAAAAAAAAACTGCGCGACCCGCCTCCGCCTACCTTCCACACCCGTATTTCGTTAACTATAATTTTTTCCAGCGTTTGCCACGGCACACCCGGCGCAACGTCCACCGGTTTCGATCTCGGTGACTTTCGCAGCTTCCTTCCGTTTCCATCGTGATTCGCGCTTTCCTGTTTGGCTTTTCATCGATCCTAGCACGCTCGGTTCCCTGCCAATTACGTCGACACCGTTTACGCCACGCATTTTCTCGATTCCGATGGACGGGGAGAAAGTTTCGTCGGTTCTCCCAGCACCGAGCGAACCCTGCAATTCGAAAGAAGAAACAAACTGTATACGTTCGCTCGCTCCCGCTCGCATCCACACCCACACACCTGTATGTATACCTCGCGATTGGGCATCGCTTCGTCGACTCTAGTTGGCCACGGTGTGACCCGGTTGCCTTTTCTGCTTTCGATCGCGCGAATCTCTATTTGCGCGCCTTGTGATCGAGTGTCGCGTTTTCCTGTATCCCGGTGTATGCATTGGAAATACGACGAGGGCGAGGCGTTTCGAAGGGGAAAATTGATTCGACTTTCCGACCGATAAAAACGTTGCGCAAAGTCGATTGCTCTCGTAGAAACCACGAGCCCTTCGAAACTACATATTCATCTTGATTCGCGGTACATGCAGATGACAGCTATTGCTACTGGGTATGTACGGTATTCTCTTCGAATTGAGAACGATCGCTTGTGAACTCGGAACGCTTCGCGCCTCTCAGGATACAATAATTCCTACGGTCGAGTTCTAGATCGAAGTTTCTCAGGCTATTTTCGGGTTACTTTTCTTTTTTCTCGATTCATTTCCGCTCGATGTCGGCGCATTTTCCGCGTATCCTTCTCAGCATTCGTAATTCGCTTTCGTCGTTCTCCATATTTATACGCTACTTGACGTGTACGATTCGAACCCATAAGAACTGATCTGTTTGCATTAAAAAAGCAACCGCGCAACGTGTTCACTTGCCAAGAAATACATAGGTACATATTTCCACAAAACGGTATACAATGTCCCGTCGAAATCGTTTCTTTTTAGTGCACGTGCTCTCCAGATGTTGCCACGAGAAACTCTGGATACGAGATAAACGTGTACACGGTAGTCGACAATATTAATGCGTCGTCCCGAAGACGATATGGTTGTCCTCGACAAACTGTGGAACGTACGAGATGGATGGACAAACGTGTTCGATAGTTACGAGCAAGTTTGCGACAAACGAGGCGATACCGGATAGAAAGGTAGGTGCGCCGGTAATACAAGAACCCATCAACAGGTAGCACGGGGTCCGATGCTACGTGGCCATCTTGATTGGAGTTTTGGCGAAAGTATGGTTGCGCGTCGGGGATGAATCGAGGCGGAGGGTTGCGTAGCCAAGATCGCGTCTCTGGACTGTGATCCGACGCTCGAGCTACGACGATGGCCGTCGAGTGGCGGGTCACCTCGGCGGCCTCGGCCACCGCTGCTCGAGCTCGAGCCTCGAGGCACAGTTACAGTCACAGCTCTATAGCTGTGGAGGCACGCGCGAGGCGCACGAGGCACGCATGTCCGGCGAGTAGCTGGAGGGAGAGTGGGGGAGGAAAAGCCGCGCGCGCGGCTCGCCCAGCGGTGAACCGGCGCGTCGCGGCGCGACAGATACGGCGGCGGAAAACGAGTCAGCCGCGCTCGGTTCGACTAGTCGCAGTCACGAAGCGGCGCCGGGCACGATTGCTCGGTTGCCTCTCTTTTCCCCTTGTTATCACTCTCTCTCTCTCTCTCTCTCTCTGCTCGGCGATCGGCGATCGTCGATCGTTCAACTCCCTTTTTCTCTCCGTTGTTGCCGTTAACGAATACGCGCACGATAAATCGTAGGACAATCGAACTGAATTCTATACCCGTGTGTCTGTTCGGAACGAACGTCTCTTTGTTCAGTCGTCCTCGATCCTTCCTTCGGGTTCGTCGTCCCCCTTCGTCTCTCGCTGCTTAATCATTTTTCCGTTCCTTTTTCCACGACGGCGGTGATCGTGCGCGTTACCCGAGAGAATGATGCGCCGCGGTGAGTTTTTATCGTGAACGGAGTAACGAGCTACGTACGTGATTCCGCGCGCTCCGTCGGTCCGTCTATAATTAACGAGACCGCGCGCGCGCACAGCTACTTACACGCTTGTCGCGTACCGGTCGAATAAAACATCGACGTTCGCGTTTCGAACGCGGTACCACGTACAACGCGAAAAACAAAGCCTCTCGTGAAACATCCAGTCACCGATGGACCAACGGATTTCGGAATCGTGCACCCGCGAACCTTGACCGTGAGACTGTTTCGACGACGGCGGCAGTGGCGGTGGTGGTGGCGTCGGTGGCAGCGGGTTCCTCGAAACGACGTATTAACAGGATCTATTTTCGTCACTCCCCAAGGGACTGCTACTCTCTCTTTCTCGCCACGTATCGAAATTGTATATACCGCGCGAGAGGACGACGACGACGACGAGGATCTTTCCTGCCTTTCGACGAGCGTCTCTTTGTTCGCGAGTGCAAGGCTAAACGCGAGCGAACCAACGCAGTGGTTCGCGGATACAGTGGAACGCGCGCGAAACGGTGTGACTCGACGAACATGTGAATTTCTTCTTGTGAACTACTAACACCTTGCAGCGAGAATTCGCGAAAAAGCAAACTTTGTGTACAATTCGAATGATTCGTGGAGGATCATCGTGGCCTTGTACCGCGGCGACGAGCAACGTTAACCGAGATCCGAGAGTGCCGACCAAGTGTAGTCCGAGGGTCAACGGCTGCTGCACGATCCCCCGTGACAGCTGGCAGTTTTCGAACGGTCGCTAATCATGCGCGCATAAAGAGCAGATCAAAAGCGAGGGAGTAGCAGCGACAAAACCGCGAGAGGGAGAGAAACAGCGGAGAAAGAGAGGAGACGGTGGAGGAGGAAGAAGAAGAGGAGGAGGAGGTGGAGGGGAGGTGGGACGCTTTTAACCGATGAGATGACAGTGTTGTGCGTGCTGTGGGCAACCTTGTCCACTGTGGCGTCGATTCTCGCATGTTCCGGATTTTATCTGCCTTACTGGATCCAGGTGAGCGATTGCGTTCGACCACGGTAACAACGAGGCGAGGGTTCGTTAGGTCAGCCGTGTTACAATTACTGATTTTGGTTGAAACTTGGCACCTGACGAGCATGCGACAACGATGCGTAATCGTGTTTCTTCTGATCGGTATCTAACAAACGAACCTCGTTTTTATCGAATTACTCGCGATATATTGTCTATCGCTAAATTTTTCTCGATTTTGCGTTTTCGATCGACCGTTTCGATCGGCCGCCGAGCGTTCGACGGTAGGTGGGTAGGTAGGTAGGGTAGGTACTCTCGACGGTTTCGACGATCGACGCGCGTTCATTTCTTTCCAAGTTTCTGACCGTTATGTTCGTTTCTCCGGTTCAAGAAGCTTTGTAGTAACATACATCGCCGACATTTCGATCGTTCGTTTTCGGTGAACGCGAACACAATCGGTCGATGGACGGACATCGCGTCGGTAATTTGCATCGCTCTGTTTGAAGCGGCACGAGAGGTGACGAATAGCTCGCAACGAGAGTGTTCGCGCTGTGACGACGACCCGACTATTTGCCGAAATTTATTGCCCTTTGAAACGAACTAAAGCCTGTAGTTGAAATCCTCCCGGTTGTATACATATACATATATACGTTGCGGAAACTACCGCACGATCGTTCTACATACTATATACTACTGCTGTAATTTCTTCTTCTTTCTTTGTTCTCTCCCGCCCCTCCCACCTCTCTCTCTCTCTCTCTCTCTCTCTCTCTCTCTCTCTCTCTCTTTCTCGTTTTATTTTCACCCTATGCAATGCAAAACCAACGGCGCCGTGCATCGAGTGAAAATTGTCTGGAATGTTAGCATACACGTAAATGTAGGAATAAGAGCAAAAACGAAGCGAGTCGCGCTCAATTGCGAGCAAGCCGACGCTTATTTTTCTACGACCAGCGAAATCTGATTTCAACGAACGATACGAAGGCGCTTAACGCACGAGCACCGGCTCCCAACGAATATAAGTACACATGCATCCAATTACGAGGAAGGGCGAGTAGGCGCACGATATCGGGTACGATGAAATCAAATTGCCAATATCGATTGTATCCTGATACCGAGTGGATATTGTTGGCAGCGTGTTTTGTAAATTAAACACAGTCATTTGACGGGATTAATAAACAGTGCCGATATATTGTTCTTTCGAGCGTACACCAAATATGAGGAAAATCTCGATTCCAACGTATCGGGTAAACACGCGCAAGTTACTTATTGGAACGCGGCGCGAGTGGCGCGACGCGGTGGTTGAACATACACAGTTATACGCGAGCAAGGACGATGTTTTCGTTTGATGCTCTTTAATCTAGATACCCGAGCATGACGAGGATTTGATTTTTACATTTCTTTGGTAGACGGCATGCTTGGCAAAACAATTGGGAAAAGGCATAATTCGTCCGATTCCGAGGAAACGAGGCGTCGCGTACCGCCTGTTTTACAGAACTATACTTACCGTTCGAGTCCACGGGACGTAGTCGTTGATCAAGGGAAATCGCTCGACAGAAATCTGATCGGGCCGAAGCGAAGCGTTCTTTAGGTACCCACGGTCAGCCATTACTCTCTCTCTCTCTCTCTCTCTGCTCGGTGGTGTATCGTGATAGACGCAAAAAGCACGGTCTGGAAGAAGAAAGAGAACAAGGACAGCTATTTAAAGCTGCCCCGGCCAAGGAAAACGAATTCGCGAAATGTAGCGTCGGAAAGATCACGACGCTATCCTACCAATGTTCTTGGATGGCGTCGAACTTTTCGTTGATTCGCGTTGCCGGTCCCTCCGTTACTCGTAAAACCGTACGAACTAGTTTCCACGAGAGACGAACCGAATTGGCGCAAAAACGACGAACAGGAGGGAGGAGAGTTGTGCGCGTGTTCACCGCAATCAGAATTTAAGCGCGCTAGGGGCTTCCATGGTGAAACGCTTTGCGTTCGTATACAGGAAACTTTGCTGAAAACGATGCTTGTCACGACGTTCGTCCCATGGATTGCCACGAGCATAGAATCGGTCGGAAATTGTAATAATTCTGGGGGTATCCTGGAGCATAGACGTGGAATCGTCACGTTTCGCATCTTGTTCCGCGGAACTCGGGATCTCAATGGTGAAACGGCAACCCGTATCTATTAACGTGACTCCAGGGAAGCGGAAACGTTGTTGGGAAACAAAGGTTCGAAGAAAATTCCAGATTTCAAAGTACTAACGGAAGTTCCATTCGCGATTGTCTTTCAGCTGTTTCGAAGCGAATGCGACGTGAATCTTTTTCGGGCGTTTCGTGAAATAGCCCGCGCGCCACTAGGCACGTCGAATCACCGGGCACCGTGTCGCACATCGCACAGCACGAAACAACTCGTTCCGCACGTCGTCGATCTACACGCGCCCGTAAAATTTTATCGCCGTTGAAATATACGCTTCCGCATCGATCGATTCGAGTATTCCTAAACTGACGACGACGACGACGACGACGAGGATGACGACGGTGGCAACCGCACACAGGAGCGAATACGTGTAGCCTTCTTCCCATTTCTTTGAAAACTTGACGAGGAGTACGCGATGCAACGACGATATTGTCGTAAAACTGTGCTGTACTCACGGTGCTATACCATCTATCAAGGGACACCTTTTCGGCAAACATTTCCGACTACAAAAGCGTGTAACTCGTTTACGAGTTGTCTCGTAGGACAGGCCACGATCTTTGCGATCTTGCGCTTTGCCACATTAAATCGTGATCTTTCTGCACAAGATTCTGAAAACAGAGACCGACTTTGCACGGGTTGCCTCGAAACCTTTTTCGTTGGGGCTTTCTCCAGGGTATCTGTTCTGGAACACCGTGTTCCAGGAATTGGTTTATGGCATCGACGAGGCGAGCGAGGATTTGTAAAGGCTTTGGAAAGTCCCCAAGGTTGCCAAACTGTCGTCCACCTTAGCGGGCATTTTACATTTCCACCCCCACGAAGAGGTGCGCTGAGGGCGGACTGTGAGAGTGGGGGGCAAGGCGCTTCACCGAGGAGGCCGTCAGTCTTACAAACTTGTGGCAGATTCAATCAGGACTCCAAGGGAGAAAGATCAAGCTCATTTTGAACAGTCAGTGTGACTGATAGAACCAAACTGGTGCTTGTGTGTGTACAAGTCAGTCTTGGTTTCTTGAGCAGGGACAGCCCCTGAATATTCACGCGTCCAAGTTTTGTTACATATTAAATACAGTCCACTATTATTGTTGAACCAAGTTCCTCATTTACTGTCCGAGTTTGTGTAACCATTCGGTACGTTCTACATTCGGTGCATCTCCAACATTCGGAATCATTGCGGGCGCGAACAGTATCTTTCCGAGTAAAAGCGACGGTAATTTCAAACGCGTCGTGACTTTTTCACGGGAAAATATATAGCAAACAAATTGTATCATTTATCTGTACAGTATAAAGAAATTGATCGATAGTGTACCGGAACTTGAAATCGAACCCAGAATCATTCGCTTGCCGGACAACCGTGTTTGTATCCAGATTTTCTCGACGATTCTTACTCTCTTAAATCATACTTTTAAGGTCCCTAGGCGTTATACATATATTTTTAGATGCCGCGATCTGTCGCTTACCCACTCATACGCATACGTACGATCCAACGGAATTCCTTCGCGTTTAAAATATAATACTTTCGTATATTTTCATATTTGTTCCGCGCAAGACAACGTCAATTCTTCCAACGATACCATAGTAAACGTTTACCGTGTGCACACATAGGTATCTAGATACAGTTGCGATAAATTCGATGGCTGTTCAAAATCAACGGTTACAGTTATTATCGTTGAAAGCTGTATCATCGATTACAGATGTAAGCTGTGTTATTGTTGGAAAAATGATCCCAGTGTCGGTATGTTAATCGATCGCCGATAAAGCTAATTGTAGAGCTGGAAAAACGTTGGAACAGTTTTTCGAAAAGGACGCAGCTTACACCCGAAAGCTCCCACGGTAGTAAACTGTATAACGTTGTGCCGTAAAAGCCTGAAACCACTGATTGAACGTGCAGTTATTTTTGAACGCTCAGCAG